GGAGGCGAGGATCTGACCCCGGCGGCCGAGCTGGGAGGGCGCCCGCCGGGGGCCGGTCTGCGCGGGGCGGGGGCGCCGGCTCTCCCGGGAGCCGCGGCCGGCGGGGGACGAGCAGCTGTCCGCCCGCTGACTCCTCCAGGGAGCAGTCGAGAGTGCGGCTAGAGCGCCCGCGCGCCGGGACGCTCCGGCAGGCGCCGCGCGCTCCTCTCTGTCGTCGGGTCCGCCTCTCCGGCTGCGCGTGGCACCGCTGCGAGTGGAGCGGTCGTGTGGGCTCCACCATGATGAACAGCGGAGGAATCGGGGTGCCGCTGGGCTTCCCCTTGGGCCCCACGTCGGTTATCCAGGTCACGAACCTGTCCTCGGCGGTGACCAGTGAGCAGATGCGAACTCTTTTCGGCTTCCTGGGAGATATCGAGGAGCTGCGCCTCTATCCCCCGGAGTAAGTGGGGCCTGCGCCGGCCTCCGGAGCGATAGAGACTTGGGAGGAGGAAGAGGCCTAGAGGGGCCGGGAGAGGGGAGGGAGGGGGAGAGGCAGAAGGCCCCGATGTGCCATTTTGAGTGTGGGCAGCAGAGCTTCTCGCACGGGGAGGTGGTCCCACCCCTTTGTATGGCAGGAATGATAGAGGAAAGGCGCTTCGCCCGCATTTAAGATGGCGGCCCCGGACTGGAGGAGGCGATCCGCGGCTGCAGCTCCGGAGCGGCGGGTGCTCTGTTGTGGCGGCGGTCACGCCTCTGAGCCGCTGCTACAGGCCTGGCGAAAAGTGTGCGCCCAGGCTGCCCCGACGCGCATCTCCGGAGCAAGTTTTTTTTTTTTTTTTCCCCCCCCCTTTCCCTGAAAGACCCCTTTCTGTGGCTCACCTTTCTCTTCGCTCGGACTGAGTGGAGGGGTGTCGGGCGAGAGAGCTGGCTGCCAGGCCACCCTGCCCGGGCGGTGCGTCTTTTTTTTTTTTTTTGTATGTGTGTGTGTGTGTGTGTTTGAAGGGCTCTGTTCCTCGATAAAGGCCTGCTCGAACAGAAGCCATAATAGGTGTTCACAGAGGGACGGTTCTTGGCCCTGCCTTGTGCTCAGAAATGCCCCTGATAAGACGTGTGCAGTAAATTAAAGTTAATAACGGATACTATTCGTTTCTCTAAATTGTAGCTCTTCTCGTTATGTCAGATGCATGCGAGGCATGCACTCAGATGGGAGATACTAACGTTTGCAAAATTAACAATACTGTTACTCCCAAGCAGATGATCATCAAGAGAACAGAGGAGGAAAATAAATACTTTTTTCTTAACAAATCTGTTCTACTAGGACGTGGATGACAGACATGTCCTTTGAAACCATTTATCTTCTTCTTTCTCATAAAGATTAAATAGAAATAGCAGAAAGGGGAGGGAGTCATTCACTTCCACATAGTTCAATTTTAATACAGAGAAGATGTTCAGATGAATAAAATGTCGATTTTTAAAACTAAATATCAAAATTTGGTATTTATCCATTTTTATATGTTTTACTACATTACATCTTGAGTAGGTTTGAAAGAGGACCATTCAGAAAAATCATATGTGATTTAATATGTATGTAAAGTATATGTAATAGACACCCATTTGTGTAAAGATATGCTTAAAATAGCCTTAATGTGTTTTAGTAGATTCACGATGACTTTTATACAGTTTTCTAGGGTTTGACTTTGGACTTGCTCCACACTTGCTTCTTAATACATGAGTTTTCTTCTGACTGAATATATTTAACTGTTGCTCTTACTTTTCACTGTTATGTAACAGATTTTAAGGTAAATAAGATACTTTCTTGACGTTCATGTGCAAATAATGTTTGTGCCTCTGTATGAAATTTTGCTGGTGTGTATATACATAGACTGTTACACACTAATTTGTAGTGTGACACCCTACCACTGACTTGAATTGACTCGATGTTGGGAGTGGAGAATTGCTGTTACTGTTTAACAAGAGCCTCTCAGTTTGCTATTTGCAAAACTTCCAGTGCTTACTGAGTTTTCTCAAGTGGGAATACACAGAGGCTATTAAGGAGGTGGGAAAGCAGCCTCCTACAAGCCCACATCTGCAAAAGGTGTCGGAGAAGCCACACTTGCATGATGATGCCAACATTTGAATATGCAAGAGCATGAGAGGATAAACTGTGTTCCCTGCTCTGTAGAATATTCTATGAAACTTTTGTGTCTTTGTTGTGTGTTGGTTTTAACAGCCTAAAGTTACTTAAATTTAAATTTACAAAATGTGTTGTTCAAGAAAGTATTAATTTACTACCTTTCTGTTGGCTGTTTAAGCAGAGTTTTGTGAGAAGATGAAGTATGACTTCGTGTTCTCACAGTTCAGAACAAGCCTGAGACCAGTTTTTACAGATCACTTGTTGAAATCTGAAGCTGATTTGCAGGGTGTGACAGGTCTTTTGCTTTGGGTATGTATGTACTCCAGTGTGCCGACCACTCATAGAGTTTTGAGCTGGTTTTTGGCTCACTAGGAGGCCAGCGACAGCTGTAATCAGATTCTTGGTCCCAGTCATGCTTTTGTGTTATGCTTGTCACCCAATTGAAGTCTGTGTTTCAGAGAAGGCTAAGCCTTCAAAGGTGGCTCTTTTAAAGATTTAAATATTTAAAAGCTTTGAGCAGCAATTGGATTTTTGCAGAATTAGTTGTTTGAATGGAGGCAGTCTGTGCCTTCCTGCTTTAGGTGTTGAAAGCCCTGCTTCTGTAATACTATTTGCTTTTGGATGGTCTTGGAGGCTAGAACACACAAGTGTTTCTTAGACATTGTTAGATCCTGCAGTGACTGCAGTATATGTGGCCTTTGAGATAAAACAGCCTTGTTTAAATGTGATCTGCACAATTATTCTGTAGCATCTTATTTTTATAAGTTATTAATTTGTTATCTCCACCACCATCACCCTCCTGAGAACATCCTGGCCCTTAGAGGAATGTTTTGTAACCTTTTATTTGGTTTTTTTCAGTGTAGTTTTCTGATTAGGTCGTTCTTATGAAATGGGTTTGGTTGGTGGTTATTCTTTTGGGAGATGGATGTTACTATCTCCCTACACAGGGAAAGAAAAGTGGCAGAAACATCTGAATAATATTTAGATATTTATTTCCTTTTTGAGTTTTCTTGCTTTCCTAAAGAAACTAGATTACAGTAACCTTGAATAAGAGATGTAGGAGTTGCTTTTTTGCCTCAGTCCTTTGTAACCCTAGGAAGACTATGACTCAACCTCAATTCAGCCTTAGAAAATGTTAGCAGGAAAAAATGGAACAAAAGGAATTAAAACAGAATAGGACTTTTATCTTTTAAGAAAGACTTGTTAAGCCTGCTGGGGAGGTTTAGGAGGCCCACTTTGTAACAGGGGAGGACTCAATCACTGTGAAACCTTTTAGAATTTTCGATCCTTTGGGTCTTAATCATCTTTCTTGATGTACATGCAGTATTGATGTGTTTTCAACAGAGGTGGACTCCTTATAGAGAATTTCTCCTCTGTAACCTTCAGAAAACACTTTATACGAAGACTTCTTTTTAGAGTCTCAATTGCAGCAGTGTTCTGATGTTATTATTTTTTAACATGCTTTCCACATAGCTTTTGTGATTGAAATTCAGGAAATAGAGGGGGAGAATATTATAAAAAATACACTTACAGAGCTGGCTCTATAGATGTTTAAATTTACATAAATTTATTTATGGGGCCTGGAACAGAATTATGTTCTTGAGTTGGCAATCAAAACAAAAAAGTAAAAAACCAGGAAATGTTAAAAGTTTTCAACAGTCTGGATCACAGACTCTTCAGTGGAGGTTTCAATGATTTGGGTTGTAACAGTGGCATGTGTATTTAAAAGCAAACCCCAAATAACAACAACCCCAAACCACCCTCCAGACGCCCTTCCACCCTCCCCCCATCAAACCAAACCAAAAAACCCCATGACCATAAAAAAAATAAGCTTTACAGTGAATGAAGTCTGCTCTTCAGAATATGTAAAAGTTGTATGCAAACGTTTCTGCTGAGTACTGATAAAGTCGTAGTTTGCTATCATTCATCTCTGATGTTGGAAACTGTTCTGAACCAAGACCTTACAGATAGCTCAAACTATTCTGTACAGTTGTTTCCTTCCTGAATGTGGAAACTTGAGACTGTGAAAACGTTGGCCACTACAAACAAAATATGGGCAAAAGAAATGTAGTCATCTTGCAGTTATTCTGCTGATTAAGGATACCAATTGAAGTCAGACACCAGAGTGAAAAGAGTAGGCTTATTTTACAAGTGATAACAGTGTAATACAGAAAACATACAGTAAGAAAATTCAGAATAGTGCACTTAAAGCAGCAAACAGGAAAAAACAGGGTAATGCATTAAATCATTACTACACGATAGAGAGAATGGAGATTAAGAAAAATACATCAGCACTTGCATATGTTACCATCGTCCAGCCCCGCAGTCGCTTGGCAGCCCTGGCTGCAGGGAGGGTTTGCAGAGCCTGTCCCGGCCAGCGGGAAATCCTACGTGGTGCGTCCATCCATAGGTGAGGCTGCCAAAGTCCCTGTGAGCGGGCCCAGCCTTATATACCAGAGATCGACAAGCCAGAATAGCTGTCACCTTTGTTTTGAGGGGAAAATTTCTGGTTTCATTCTCCTGTTGGATTCCACCCAAAGCCTGGCCAGGGCTCGCGGGGAGAGACCAGGGGAGTTCTCACAAGGCCAGACACTTGGGTTCTCAGCCTTGACAAGGCTAAACAAGGGATGTTGGATACATTCTCTTCTCACTACTGATGATATTTTGTCTAAGCTGCATCTTTCACTAGCGAGCTTACACACTTTGTTAATGATTACAGACTAAGTTAGCAGCTTCGGCTTGGGGCCTGTTGTTCAGGCTTCAGTACTTCAATGCTTTAGCACTTTTTACATCAGCACGAGTGTGTTGTTATAACTTAGTACAACACCTACTGGCACAATGGTTTCAGTTACAAAATATACAGGATTCATCTATAGATCAACTCTAGCTTGGGCCAGTTGTCCAAGCCTTAGCACTTCAAGTGTTTTTCTAAATTGTATAAGGTTGACTTTCATATTTATGTGTCTCCCAGTCCCTGCTTATTTTTGCCTCCTCAGTGTATCTGTTTTCGCAGAAGTTTCCATCACAAGTGTTTCTGAATGCCGTCCTGAAGTTGGGCAGCTCTCTAGATATATTACCTAGGTGTTACCTGGTAACCAGAAGCATACCAGTCTGCCTGACTCTTAAGTTCTTGGTTCATTTATGGAGTTAATATGATGAAATAATGTGTCTAGAACTTATGAGTTTGTATTTAAATACTAAAGTCTAATTAATTCCATACCACAACTTTAGGAGTACCTGCTTAGAATTTGAGGAACTACAAGATGGATTGAGCTAAACTTGGAACTGCTTCTGGTACTTCCAGAAAGCTGACAGGTGTTTCTGTTTCAGTTGAGGAAGGGTCAGAATGGCACCATTTATGCAGTGTATTTTCCATGAATTACTGTTTTGCTAGAAGACATATGGTCTTTTAAAATGGAATTTGCTAATCCAGCAGTATCCTATTGCTTTCTCTCTTTGAAGATTTCACCTGTACTTCCTTCATGTGAAGAAATAAACTGCTTGTATAAAGATTACAAACCTTGACTAGGGAATACATTTTTTTAAAGCAAGCTTCTTTGGCTTTGATCAAGATTACAATATTTATGTGTTGTGCTTTCTGACATCTCTGTTGGTGTGCTTTCTACTGGAAAAGCAAATTATAAATTTTCTTCCTTCTTCTAGCCAAATAGTGAATTCCTCCTACCTCCTTCAGTGCCATCCTGCACTACACTATGCCAAACTAAGGCAGATGTTAAAAAGGATTCTTGAACATTTGAAAAAACATATGTTGCATACCTAACACTTGAAAGAACTCTCAAGAACTGCTTATATCTTAATTAATGAAACTACTTTTATGAAAGAGTATTGGGTTTTATGGGCTAATTTGAATTACCCACTAAAAAATGACTGGGCTTGTTTGACTTTCCTAAAGAATTATTTGAAGGAAGAAGGATAAACTATAAATTATTTACTTGTCAGATGTGTCTTACAATACTACTTACAATAGGAATTTGGAATGGACTGGTCAATGTTGTTCAACAAGATTATAAAAGAAAAATAGCCTTGTTAATTTAGGATTTTGACTTCTGTAAGTTTCTGTTAAAAAAGGAGGGGCTATGCTGTGCTTTTTTTTGGTCACATAAGTAGGCAAGTTAGTAAATTTCTGCTTGCCTTTTGCCTAACTTTTCCAGGAAGTCTAACATCTATTTTTTTATAAGGAGTAATAGTTAAAAATACACGTATACAATTATTTGATGTGACTAATTGTGTTTTCCTTTTATCTTGCAGCAACGCACCTCTTGCTTTTTCCTCCAAAGTATGTTATATTAAGTTTCGTGAAGCATCGAGTGTTGGTGTGGCCCAGCATCTAACTAACACGGTTTTTATTGACAGAGCTTTGATAGTTGTGCCCTGCGCAGAAGGTTGGTATTTTAGACATTCTTCTGTAATGTCAGTCTTTGTCGTGTCTGCTAATTGTTTTAAGCTTTCCATGTAAGGAGGTGGTGCTCTGTTGTTATTTTATTTTATTGCTTTTTGAAATAAAGTCTTGAAACAAAAATTGAATGAAGAAACCCAGTTATATAAATACAATTGAAATTCAACATTAGAAAAAAGGTAGTTAATTTAAATTAGGATAATTCAGTTTTCCATAGTTGTTATGTATTTTGAGGGAAAACAAGATAAATTAATTCCCTTCAATATGGTTTGTGTTAGCAAGCTTATTCTCGCACAGAGTTCTCACTGAAGTCAATGGAGCACTGAAAAGATTAGGCAATTTCCAGGAACCAGTAACATAGCAGCTTGGGTCTTAATTTATTACCTTTAGTGTGGTGGGCGTTTTTGGCTGGTTTTTGTTTTGTTGTGTTTTTTTTTTCCTGAGATACAGATTATTTTTCTGTTTTTTTAGACTGATTCCCAGTTTTGCTTGTAGACCTATGATATATGCATTTGGCCATTTTAGATTAATCTTGTCATGCATGGTGATAATTACTGTTTAAATACAAATATTTACCTGCTAGTTTAATTTTAAAAGTTCAATTTTCCTTTCTTGTTACTGTGGAAGATACTAGTTTGTGAGCCATAAAAAGGCTTTCTCATGTACACAAGTACTCTTTTTTGATTTTAGTTATCTCTTTTAAAATGCAGTGATCTGTACAGAATGCTTCCAGCATAAAGTATTTTTAAAACTCTTAATAAAATAAAATGCTTGGTGAATACTAATTTTGCAGGTGTACCTTTAACAAGCTTTCAGGCCATACTTTTACAGATGTGTTGAATACAAGGTAGTTAGTATAATATCCCAGATCTGAATACAGTTATATGAATCATGTCCCTACGGTAGGCGTAATGCTGGAGTTAGGCAGAGCCCCATTGACTTCCTTGAGATCATTGTGGAATTTAGCATATGTCCATTTGTTTCTGGACTTTTTGCTTCTTTGGAGCAGAGACATTCCAGTTGATGGAGTGAACCTAACTTGACTTTGAACATGGTAGCTCTTTTGCCATGTACAGTAATATTGAGAATGATTGAACCATAAACTGCAGCAAATCCAGAAATACCTTCTACTAACATAACTTTTCTAATTGCAAGCGTCTGATTTTGGTTCAGTAAAATACTGTTGACTTCTTGGAGTTTGTTAACAGCAGTCCCAGAGTACCATTTTTCAGCATGTTTGCCACATCATGATCTGTGTAGTATGAGATCAGTGCTGCTGTAATAATGGTCTGGGATGTTCCTAGCAAACTGACGAGTCTTCAAAATTTCATAGGTTCTGTGAGTACTTTCACTAAAGCCTATACTGACCTACAATATTCTGTCTATTCTTGTAGCCTTCTTAACAGGGGCATATGGCACATATATTTGTCTTTGTGAAGCCTAGATTTTTAGTTGCTTTTATGCCCTGTTCTGGGGACTTCTTTGTTGTATTTTTTGAACTTGTTCTTAAACCACAAAGAGGATATTGCTGTATCCACTTGAAACTGTGTAGAGGCTGATGGGACCAGAGTCCTTATTATTGAAAAATTGCCTCTAAATAATTGACTACAAATTATTCAGGATCTTAGTTTTACATTTCATCAAAAAGGCCTTAACACTGGTTCAGTACTGCCAGAGAGGGAAGATTGCCGCCTAATGAATGAACAACACTTCCTGGTGTTTTTCTTGTGATGAGATTACTGCCTGACGTGATATGGCAACAGGCAGGTAAAGCTACATTTTCCTGTGTCTCTTGATGGTAGTCAATGGATGGAAGGAGAATAAAATCCAAGTTCTGACAGATCTTGTTCTAACTCTCTTTGTTAGCTGACTTATTAGGCATTTCTTAGAAAACATATTACAGAAAAATTGTCACTGTTCAAAATCATTCTGGACCCCACAGAGATTTATGCATAATTAGGTGAACAGATATTAGGTGAACAGGTTGTGAGGTCAATTTTTTATGTCAGAATGCTGTTTCCATGTAACTTTCTAACAACCACTAATTTCAATTTATAAAGATGTGAGTTTATATAGGTTTAACTTTCTGAGGAATTTTTTGTGTGGAATAAGTATGGCTTTGGAGACCACAGCGCAAGGTTTTTGTTTCACTGTGTGTCATATGATGGAGTATACATATATGTTAATGGAGTCAGTGGAGTGTATCACAGGCTTTAACAGTAGTGATGGCTATATTCTACTGGGAGGTAAAATTATATCCTTGGCCAGTAGTGCCAATAATAAAACATTTCATGCGCCGAATTGAACATAGAGGAGAGGTAAAAGAGAACTCTGAAAACTTGGTTTTAAAAACCAAAATAAAATCTGTAATTGGGAGTGTATTTAAACAGTGGTAAATCAAGGGAGTTTGAGGAGGGGATCACTACAAAATGAAAACAGTGTTAATTTTGTGACATTTAATAAACAGTTTAACCAAAATGTAATTGTAAATGAAATAACATTATTAAGCTGTCAAAATACGACTTTTTTTTGTGTGTGTATTGGTAGGTTTTTCTTTAAACGTTGTACTTTGAGAACGCAAAGGTTGAAAGATAAACAGAGATGCCACCCTAATCATTCTAAATTTTATGTCCACATTATCTGGTAGATGGATTTTGACTATTAATTTGGTTTTGTATGTTTTCTCTGTGTGATATTTGTGCATTATTAGATGACTAGACTGGCCAAGGCAGACCTGTTACACTTGCCTGAGTTAGGCATTGTTTGCCATGCCACTAAACCTGCCGCCAAGTGAAACCTTCATGGGGGAAATGAGATCGAAGTCTGGCCTGCTGAAGATGGACGCCCTGTCTCTGTTTTTATTTTATTTTGCTTTCTTTCCTTTGTTTCTTTTATTTTTATTTTTATTTTATTTTGTCCCTTTTTTTTGTTTTGTTCTGTTAAATCTCTTTCCCTTGTACTTGTGAACTGGTACTTCAGTTCTGTAAAAATGGTGTTTCGTAAAGGGTTCACAGTGTTTCATTTTGAAGTTGACCTGAAGCTGCTTATGAATGGTGGATGGTATACACAGAATTAGAATATTATTAATTTTTATGCTGCGAACTACGGATAATTTGATTTGGAATATGTTTAAGCATCTAAATTCAACAGATGAGCACATTGTGTCAGAAGATGGAAAAAGTGAGAAATATATCGGTTTTAAGATACATTCTTTCATATTTTATGCTTTATGAGTTTATCTTGGAAAAGGACAGCTGAAACTCTCCTGGAGAAAATAACTTTGCAAAGTAAAGTCGTGATCTTCCTCTGCTATTTTTCTTTGGCAGAGTAGTTTTATTTTAGGTTGCATGGTCTATTTAAAAGAAGGCTTACTATATATGTCTGATATGAAGAGTTTTAAATAATTGTTTCTGAAATTGAACTTTCATGAATATTGAATGTCATGAAATACTTGTTTGTTTCTGTTGAAACCTTCCTCCAGTGAGGTCAGTGGCAGTAAGATTTCATCCTTTTGTTTTTGTTATTTTCAGAAAAAACTGTTTACCACTCATAAGTACAAACGCAGCCTGAAGTTTCGGTTGGAATATGTTATGTGAGGCACATTGTCTTTTAACACTGTTATTTGTGAGAAGATTGAATCAGTTCCATGTGCGTGTGTGTGTATGTATGTGTATATTGCACTTTGACATTCTCCAGTGGTGGTTATTTCAAGAAGAGGTTTTAAAATTAAAAAAAAAAAAAAAAAAAAAAAAAAGTGTCTTCTCAGTCATCTCACAATTTCAGAAGCCCTGGCAGTTCATGCTGGAGTGATTGAGAAGGTTCTCATCCCTGAATGATGTTCTTACTTCTTGTGAAATGGAAGCCCTGAAACAGCAGTTGTGGACCAGGTCGCGTCTCTAGCCCTCAGGCATTGGTCTTCCCAGCTGGCTGCATTGGAATCAGTTGGTTTCACTCTGGTAATGCACCAAGCTGTGCACTGCAGCTGGGAAGAGCTTTGCTTCTTGTTCTCTGTTGGATTTAGCTGTGGCAGTTGAGGTAATTGCCAGTAGGTATAATCTCTCTAATCACTGCTGCTAAATCCAGTAAGAATCATGAATTGGATCGCACAGGAATTATTTTGTTTGTAAGTGTGCATTTTCCAATGATCTAAAATAGCAAAAAAATAACAATTACTTTAATTATATGTAGACTAGATGTGAACTAAATATTTTTAAAAGAAGCAAACTTACTTACTGTGGAAGCAGTTGGGGAGGCGGGGGAGAGCGGAGGATTAACCATGTAGTATGAGTACAAAGAGTGGGAAATTAATTTATTCTGAGCACTTGGAGGGGGATAAAATTACTATGTGTAGTACTTGCTTAATGCAGATACTTCAGCATTTAGCAAAATGGATTCTGGTATGAACTATGTTGACTAAGGACTCTTAAGCACTTTGATGATACAAAAAAGTAACAATAATAACTGATACTTAGGACAACTGTACATTTCCTAAGAAGCATAACTTGTCTTTAGGCAATGCAGAGCTAATCTACATCAGTTTCCAGATTCCTTTGCAAAGTGAAGAAACAATAAATAAATTATCATAGAATTTGTAATTTACTAAACATAAGAACTTCTAAGAAATCTTCCTAAGGATGTGATATAGATGTGGGATACTTATTTTGTCTGTTTCCCTCATTAGAAAAATATTTTTACTTAATTTCCATTCAACTTTTAAATACCATGAGTTTAAAAAACAAAAGTTACTCTTAAACTAAAATGTCCTAATCTGTTGTATCATAACCCACGTTTTGTTGTATCTTTGTGGGCTTCTATTCCTTTTATAAATAAATTCATGGAGATAAAACCTCAAAACTTAAAGCCTGTAAGTCATGAGGTTATTTGGCCTCACATATTGTTTTTCAAAACTATCTAAAGAACAGAGAAGTAAATTTGCAAGATATTTCAGGTTTTCTTTTTCCCCGCAATGGTTTGTTTTCTATAGAATTTTTTAAAAGTTTGACCTGGTCTTAAAAATTGAAGAAGAATCCTTAGAAAATACAGTGTCTTGGAATATACAGGCAGTTTTTCAGGGTTCTGTCTGTAGAGATAGACCATTTCTCATTCTTGGATAAAATAAATGAATCGTTGTAGCATGGAACTGACCAACTAGATTTTGTATTTAAAATAAAACATTGCATTTTTAAAGGACCAAAGTATTCTGGAAGTAATGCTACTAACTTTACAATTTAGATATGTATGTTATTCATTCCTTGAACTGCTATAACAGTGCACTTAACTGAAAGTGTTCAGTGGATTCCTTGAGCAAGATGACCCATATACTGAAAGGTTTAGGCTTCTATTTAAATACCTTTCTGATCTTGACTCATTGTCTGTCATAGTTATGTGCCTAACTCAATTCCTATTTAAAAGGGCTAAATGCCTAAGCATCTCTTATCTGGTTAAATGTATTTAATTGGCTTGTATGTAAGTGCATACTTAAATTAGGCGTATACTTATGTATGTTACTGACCAAAGATCTAAAATTATAATACAGACATACCACTTGAGGACCCATTTCTGCCATTGGTTTTACTTGAACTATGTCTGTGGATCCTGTAGAAACCTGCATGATTATCCAGTTAATATCAAGATGCTAACTCTACAGGCCAAAGTCTGTTTCATTAGTCATTTGAAAACATGTAATTTGGTTTTCAGAAGAAATGGTACATAATTCTATGCCTAATTTGCATGCACAGCTGCTCGAACTGTGTATTTGAAAGCCTGTTAGCTACGTATTAGGCAGGATCTGCAGCAAAGTACCTGATACTCAAGAGCAGTCAGGCAAATTAGGTACATGTCTCATTGCATGCCTGACTTCAAAATGAAATCTGTAAAGAGTGCTGAACATTGTGATAATGACTCAGATTCATGCATGTTTTTTAAAAAGCCCTGGAAGTCATTATTGCACAGTTAATTCTTAAGTGCTAATAATTTTCCTATTTTTCTCCTTTAGATAGCAAAATCAAGTGGTTTGTTACATGTTAAGGAGCAAGGTGCCTCAAAATTTAACATAAATAAAATAAATGTAAATAGGAAGCATGAGGAAAAAATGGGTACTGTTATTTTATCTTTTCTATTCCACCCATGCTACATATAAATTAAGTTTCCTTTAGATGTGTTTTGTCCTTTGATCATATCCAACTGTAACCTAGTCCTTGCTGCAGATCTGTAGAATTTGCAACACATTTTTTTCTTATTTTTTTGAAGTAGCATGTTTTCTGTGGGGTCTGTTGGAATTCTTATAGCTAAAACTGCACAGTGCTTTGAAACTTACCTCATATTTTGCTTTTTCATAAGAATATTTATATATTCATTTTTAAATCCTGAAGCTAGGGGTTTTATACCTAAAACAGACAGTTTGAACAAAAGCAGTAAAAGCCACTGGCACAGTAGTCATGTATACTTTGACTTTTAAAACAATGTTTAAATAAAAGCATTTACTTTATTAAAATGCATGGGATAATACCAGAGCATTCAGATGAATAGCATATATACAGTTATGCCAGTGATTTTGAATAGATCATAAATGCCTAGTATAATCAAAACTTCTTTTTGTAGTTTTTCAGTTTGATGTGCCAGTTTAAATCCATTTGCATTTAAAATTTAATATGTACCATTAATTGTAATCATAATTATCTAGTATATCTTTTGATTTTTGAAGATTTTGGGGGGTTCATTTAGCAGTCTAATTGTGACTCATATTGAATGAAACCTTCATTTATTCAGATCAGATACTACTTTTAGCATGACAGAGGAAATACATGCTGGTTGAAATAGTAGGAAATACATATTTGGGGAAAATATATCTTGCTTAGTTGATCAGTTACAATTTTCTTCAATCTCAATAAATTTAAAGCTGATTTATCAAAGTTTCAGGTAAACTGAGATGACCTAGAATGCAAGACAGTACAAATCTAATTTTTTTTATTTTTTCTGTCCTCTTCCTTCTCCTCCATCTCCAACTTCACTTGTATTATGTGATATGGAATCACAGTAGTTCAGTAGTTTTCAGTTTATTTTTATTTATTTTTACATCCAAAGTAGGTAGCACCAGAGGAATAAAAAGAAAGCACAAATTTCAGTTAGCACATACTTTGTTTTTTCTTTTCTTTTTTTTTTTTTTCTTTTACTGATTTGGTTATTTGCCATTTCTGGGGATTAAACTTTAAAAAATGTTCTTCTTTTCTGTATCTGATGTTCTGTGTGCTATTAGTGATGCAGCCAACACGAACGGTTGTCATGTGTAAAACAACTTTCGATCACCGCGAAAACACCGCCCTGGGAAAGCGTCCATGCTTGATATCGTTTGGTTCATGAACATTAAGTTTCCAGTACAGGTGACCCATAGCTCAAAGTGTTAAATAATTGTATACATTATGCAGTTTTTAAAATAATGATCCATTAATGAGATTGCTAGTCTTTGAAGTTTTGATCACTTTTGTTTTTCCTAGTAGAGTAGGGTAAAAGGAAAAACTTAAGTTCTTATTTGTTTCTTTGTAAGGATCTGGTAGATAGATTCATTGTTATTTATTACATTTTTAAATGCAAGGGTAATTGTAAAATCGTAGAAAGAGTAACACACGTGTAGTATTCCAACTCTGTGTAACACTTCTATTTGCTTCTTCAGGTAAAATCCCAGATGAAGCCAAAGCTCTTTCTCTATTAGCGCCTGCTCCTACCATGACAAGCCTGATGCCTGGTGCAGGGTTGCTTCCTATACCTACACCAACACCTTTGACCACAGTAAGTAAAATTCAGTTTGATTTCTGGTTTCCTCTATACCCAGTAGTCTTTTCTGTGTTCAGAGAACCAGAACTATCTGTTCCATGGATGTCCTCTTGTATGCTAGATCAGTGAGGATTTAGCTGTGTTGCTTTTGAGGGTAGATCACAAGATGTCCATGAACTACCTTTCCTGGGTTTTTCTTTCAGTTTATTATTTTGCAAAATAATGGGTAAATGCTGATTTTGGTTGTGTACATTTTAATTGTCCTTCCCTAGACTCATTAATTAATTAGACTCATTAAAGTCCAGTGGCAGTGCTATCCACCTCCTAAAAATTTGTTAAAACGTAAGAGTTACATGAACACAGTTCTTCAGAATATTAAAACACCACATTAGGGTGCTTCTACTTGATACCTCTATGACAGGGCTTTTTTGACTGTTTGTGTAACAGTGATTTTGCTACAGAAAGCACAGGAGCTAGCTGCTGCTACTTCTGCTCAGTTCCCTTTTGCCTCTGTAATCCTTTTTTGACATCAGCAGGCTGCAGAGACCTATTCGGGGAAAATTTCTAGTAAAAATAGAGTGGGTTTACATTAAAAAAAAAAATACCGGTGGCTTGCTGAGAGTTTCTCACACTTGTTTGAAAATCTGGTTGCTGACAAAGCAGTTGCTTTTTGGGTAGAGAAAATAAAATTAAAGCCAGGAACTCATCAGGCCAATTCAGAAGTGATTTTCAAGTGGCTTTTTAAAATAACATTCGTCAGGAGAGATTTTGATTCCCAGCTCCAAAAATGAGACCTGTGTTGTCCTCATTCTCTAGGAAAGGACTGTAGGGTAAGAACTTAGACTTAAATATCCTTTGCATTTCAACTGTAATTAATCTTGCCTTATGTGATGTGTTTGTTCAAAAGGTACCTTATCTGTCACTTTGATGGTCTGATAGCTATTACAGAATAAATTGGCCCTGGACACTGAAAATTCCTTCCTTTCCTTGCTGGGCAAGGGCTCAGCATTCCTCATTCCTCCTAATGCTTGTTGTGGGAAAAAAAAAAAGAATATTAGCAGTGTCTGAAGTCATCTTACTCAATGTAATTGACTCTAAGCATTAGAAATTCAAGCCTGTACTTTCTGATTGATATACTGCATCCCTGGCCAGACCTCTTTGACAAGATGCTAACTGATAGCTCACAGAAAATCTTAACTGTAGAAGGTGGTTTATGGGTAGGTTTTTATTTTTTAAAAATCTGGGACCTTAAAATCTAATTAATTAGATTCATTTTCACAGAAATGCACAAGGCAGTCAAGTATTAACAAGTGAGGCATCTCCCACCAGTGCTTGGTTGCAAAGTATATTCTGGTTTTGTGTTTTTCAGCTCGGTGTTTCACTTGGCACTTTGGGGGCTATACCAGCAGCAGCACTGGACCCTAACATTACAGCGCTGGGAGAAATACCACAACCACCAATTATGGGGAATGTGGATCCATCCAAAATTGATGAAATCAGGAGAACAGTCTATGTTGGAAACTTGAATTCCCAGGTAGCTTTTTTTTTTGGTGTAATACTTATGATTTTATACGTTCATCAAAAGTCCAGATGGGTTGTGTTAGCTGAGTAATGCCTCAGAAGTTGTGAGATCATGGTATCTGTCCCCCACAACACTGTGCAGTTGCTTAAGTACAGTGAAACGGGATGATGTATCCTAGTGGAAGTTGCAAAATTAGCGTGAATACCTTTGAGTTTCTACAGCAGGAAAGGTAGGTCTGTCAGAAACTTGTTTTTTCAGCAATTGATTTAATTAATTGAAAAACTATTTACTTTTGACTGACAGCAATATTTTCATTTTTTTGACTGCCAAAGTAACTTACTGAGTGTAAAAGTACTACGATCATGACAAAATAAAACAAGCTGGAAGCTAGTAGAAAAACAGATACAAGCTAAATCGTGTCATTTTGTTTGGATTTTTAAAAAAATTGATGAAAATTCACAGTCAGTAGCTTAGACATAGGTGTATAAGGAAATTCATCATCAGCTGTTTTGGATGACTTGCCTGAAAAGTGAAAAATCCTATAAAAATATTTTTTTAATGTAAATGTAAGACTTCAGGGCTTGTGGTTGCACTGTTTTAAATTGTAGTATATTCTTTAGAGTAACAGAAGTAAAAATACCTGTATTTCCTGAAATGTAACATTAACAAATTCACGTCACACTGTAATAATGGTAAGATATCTTTCCAAAGTCTGTGGCTCTTAGATTACTTGGTATATTGGATAAGTGGTTTTCATTATCTATTTTACTTCAGCTGAGCTCTTTGACTTTTTCTAGACTACAACAGCAGATCAGCTCCTTGAATTCTTTAAACAAGTTGGAGAAGTCAAATTTGTGCGAATGGCAGGTGATGAGACGCAACCAACAAGATTTGCTTTTGTGGAATTTGCAGACCAAAATTCTGTACCTCGTGCTCTTGCCTTTAATGGAGTTATGTTTGGAGACAGGCCACTGAAGTAAGAAATTAATTATCCATATGACTGTTGAATGAGAGATTCTTTGTATCCTTACGTATTTATGACTCTGATGTACAGGAAACTGCTGTGATTAATATTTTTTCAATATAAAGACCTATTGTTATCAAACTAGAATGTTTTTATAAACTCCAGTTTCAAGGTTGGGCATAACTTTGAGAAGAATATGGATGGCACCGAGTAAAATATATTTAATTTTGAGGAAGTTGTAGTAGTGAAAGAATCTGCAAAGTCCTTAGTACTAATTAAGCCTTTTATACAATGTGTATATAATTAGTAGGCCTTAACATAGAGGTTTGATCTGAAATTGAGAAGTAGATTCCTAGACTTCGACTAGAATATGTTTTAACATGGAAATGTTGTGCTGCATTTATTTGAAAGTAATAAGATTCAAAAGCAATAAAAGACATTTCAGATACTTAGAATGGATGAATGTTAGGACAAATCTGTAGTTTTGCTGAACTTTGAAGTTTTTGGTCATACATGGAAACTGAGGTATTTTCCTTTCTTACTTGTTTTTCATTTTCCCTTTTCAAGTGTTTGGGAGTTAAAGATTTTATTTTTCCTTTAGAATAAATCACTCCAACAATGCAATAGTGAAGCCTCCTGAAATGACACCACAAGCTGCTGCCAAGGAACTGGAAGAAGTGATGAAGAGAGTAAGGGAAGCCCAGTCTTTCATATCTGCTGCTATTGAGCCAGGTAGGTATATTATGTTCATTACCTAATACATAATACCTAACACATTCTGTGTGTATCTTTGCACATGTTTTTAAGAGCATTTGCAGACACAGGTAGACAGTACGCAAAGGTGAACAATATGTGGGGAAAGAAAAAATAAAAATTGTGTTCATGCAGCAGAGCAGTGGAATGGAGCTGACTATTTCATCATCTTATTTTCAGATAGGTGTTCACTGAATGTACTCAAAAATACAAAGTTAATACTTGGTGCTTTTAAAGTTCATAGTAATTACAAGCTTTTGAAAGAAAATGCTTTATATTTTGTTTTGTTCTCCTATAGCACCCATTAATGCCATAGTCTCATGATCAGAGGGAGCTAGTATGGTTCTGAAAACAGTAATATTATGCTTTCCTTGTCTGCAGCAGGTTAATTTTGTTCCTGTGCTGTGCTCTTTTTCATGCTGCCTCAAGACTATGTGCATCCTCATAGTAAATGGGATCAGAGAATTAATCTAGGATAAAAACTTAACATATTGTAAAGTACATTTTTTCATCCAGATTGGTTCCCTGATCCTTGTCAACACTGAGATGCCAGGTCAAGGAGGAAGGTTTTGGTGGGTTGAAAGGTTAGACAGACATTTCAGTGCTGATTTATGCTGACTTAAACTGATTACAAAACCACAGCATAAAAAAATTCTCGTCTTGTTTAATTTGCAGTTGAGATCCTCCTTTTTCTTTTCATCAGTGGGATTTTGTCATTCTTCTTACTAACATAACCAGACATTGTCTTACTTAGGTTAGATAGTGTGGAGTCTTAGTGATTTTTTTGCGGGGGTGGGTGAGTATCATATTTTCTGCTATTTTTTAGGGTTGGAATAAAAATAGCTCTAACATTTCCTCAATGTTAAACAGCAGAGTAACAGTCTTTTAGAGTCTGAACCAAAGTCTGGTGAGGTCACTGTTAAGGTTTCTGTTGACTTCCTGGCCTTTGGATCAAACTATTCACCCTGTTCTCTCCTTCCCTTCCTCCCACAAAACAGTGTTTGAGGAATAAAACTTCAGAGTTTGTACAGTGGTTGAAATACCTAAAAATACAGAAAGTACTAATTGTTATTTACATTTTATGCTTGTTTTCAAAGTAATACCCTCTAAATTTACCCTATTCTTCTCAGGTTATTTTAAAAAAATGAAAGTAATTATATTAAATAATAGACCAAGAGGAGAACATATTGTGATCTTGTGCATTGTGGCAGCAACATAAATCCCATTCCTAATAGAGCTAGCTGTTTATAATTATCTGGTTTATGTGTACTGCTGCAGGATGGCTGCACTCAACGAGTATATGCAATGACTTTCTTGGATGTTTCTGAAGGATATTTGCAAAGAAGGAAGATGTGCAAAGAGTAGGCCCCTTGCACTATATGTGGTACATTCCACTTGTGCCAGATTGTTAACTGGGATCTTTAAATGTTCTGAGCTTACACTGCAAAGTGGTTTTTTCCTCTCAGAGTCTGGAAAGAGCAGTGAAAGAAAAGGCGGTCGATCTCGTTCCCATTCACGTTCAGAATCCAGGTCTAGCTCAAAATCCCGATCTAGAAGGAAAAGATCACACTCAAAACACAGGTAGGTATGTTTTTTATTTTGGACTAAGAGATCATACTGGGTTTTTTGGGTGGTGGTGGTTACTGAGATTCTTACAGACCTGTAAGACGAGTATCTCTGTGGAGTATATTACTAACTTAAACTGAGGATATCACAGGAACTTTGTTGCTGAATAGATAACTCTCTCCCTCTAAATACTGAATGTCTTCAGGATGACACTCAGTTAAAACACACTAGAAGGCACTTTTTGTGCCATGTAACATAACCATTTCTGTGTTTTCGTGGTACATTTTGTGCCTTGTAGCATAGTATTTTGTGATCTGTATTTTGAAAAGAGTTACTTGTATTTTGTGGATTGAACATGTAGTTTACTGTTAACACCCTGAGCAGTTAGGCTGGCTGGTTTTGCTGGTAGAAGGTTTCTGATGTCCTGAACTTCTAAACATCTAGTTAACAAATGAAATATTTTTATTTACTGTACTGTAAATGTAAAGCTGTGGGTTTTAAAAGCAGAAGAAAAAGGCTTTAGGGGCAGTTTTTAATTCTTCAGCTTTTGTTTGCTTTGCTCAAACTGTTTTCAGTTCTGACACAGGCTTTGGAATACGAGAGGAAATAAAATTCCTAGATCAACCTTAAAGTACAGCCATTAAGATTTTTTCCAAGAATGAGACAGTCTTGCTATGTGGGAATTATAAAAGCTTCCTGAAATGGTTCAGTTTCTTTCCATGTCAGGAATGTCTTCTGAGCATTTATGTAAACAATCTAAAGATACTTGGCTACGTTAAGTATCCAAAAAAAAAAAATAATCAAAATGTATTTGATAGCTTACACTTTAAAAAGGTGAGTATTGTCAGTGTTGCGGCAACAGCTCTGTTGCTTCCTTTCATGCATCACCTTTTTAACAAGGCAAGTAGAATTTTTAGATACAGAAAAAATGGCCAGAGAAAGTTAGTATCAGTTGAACTACCAAACAAATATAAGTGCAAGCTTCAGTTTTGTGATAGTGAGACACCACGGTACATATTACCTAATGACATCAAAATGTTAGGTACCTTTTTAATGCAAGAGGAATCGTTTAGTCAGTTCTTTAGTTCTTGCTCTTTTGCTGTTTCTCTGATGCAGGACATAACTGAAAACCAGTCTTTGTTTTGTATAACACTGCAGTAATGTCATTACTATTTTTATATTGACACCAAATTGATTTTTATAAGATAAAGTTGCATTTGTTTACGTGTGGAAAATCTGTGCTTTAAACAACTGTTGATGGTTTTAGTGGTTTGGGTTTGTTTTTTAAATGATTTACCCCTGTTACTGTCAGTTTTGAGAGTATGCTGAAAAAAAGGCAGTCTTATATGCTGAGGCTTCATCCCTAAGAATAAACTGTCCTTCCCACTTCCCTGTTTTACAAAATAATTTTCATCTCTATGGTATAAAATTATTCAAGGTCTTACTTGACTCACTTGCAATTAATTTGTCCTGTAGTTAGTTTGTATTTCTGCACTGATAAGTGGAGCAAAGGTAAAAATATGGTTGCCTCTCCTCTCCTCTTGGTATATATTACTCTGTGTGTCTTGAGCTGGAGAAGACAGGTCGAGTTGGTTTTTTGTTTTTTTTTTTTTTACCTTCCTGTTCTTCAAGATTTATTGAGTAAAATACATACACTTTCTGTCTAGTAAGTTAAACTTCATAGTACCTTAACCTCTCAGGCAAAGTATTCAATGATGTGGTTTTTTGAAACTTAATTTTCAAATTCAGCTTTTTATTTTTGCTTTCCTAGGCAGTGTCATCTTCCAAAAATAGGGAATATTTTGGAAAAAAAGAATATAGTGATTAAAAGCCTTATTTTCTTCATCAAATCTGTGACTATACTATATAAGTTTATCAGAAGACTTTAACTGGATTTTTATTGGAGTATCTGCACATTATTTGCATTCCTTATTTACCATGTAGTAAACACTCATTCCTTTTCCTGAGAATTCTCAACAATTGACATCCATGGTAACAAATCCTTTCAGCTGAAAAGGTAACTTGGCTAAATGCTGAACCACAGATAGTGTTGGGTTTTTTCTGTTTTGGTCTGTTTTTTTAACATTCATTTAAATTGTAAACCTGGAGGACAAAGCAGAAAGGGACCAGTTAAAACCATCTTTCTTCAGTGACCAAGACTACAGTGTGACTGGGCCTGAAAAAGAACCAAAATCTAACTAATAATTTTTACAGGCTGTTAGAAATGTCTATAGTAGATTTTATGCACTGTAATTTACTAAGGACAGCTATCCTAATACGGTATGAATTTATATTTTCCAGAATGTTCATGGAGGTTATTATGAAACATGAGTATTACTTAAATGATGAACTGTTTCAAAGAATGGCATGTGTACCTGATGAAGCATGAAGTATACATATTTGAAAAAATGTTGGTAGGCAGTATATTACTGAGGTGTAATTTTATATTATTTAATGTAGTGAGGCGAGATTTATGTTTATTTTCCTTTGTTGGTTGACCTAATTTTTATGAGGTTTCAATATTAAAGTATTTTTTTCTGATATTGCTCATATAGAAGTAGATCTGGCAACAGATCTCTCTCAAGACACAAGGACAGACGCAGATCCAGAAGTCCCCTGAAAAAAAGGTCTAGATCTAGGGAAAGACGGAAATCAAGAAGCCGCTCTCATTCTCGGTGAGTTCCGTTCCTAAGAAATTATACTGTTCCTCTTAGCACACAGTACAGAGTTTTAGGTGATGGTAGAGGGTGAAATCTCAAAATGCTGTAGCCTGTCCCTAAGCTTTGTCTGTGGGACAAAAGAATAGAAAGTAAATTTTAATGCTGAGTGTACTGGTTTTGGCTGGGATGGAGGTAATTTTCTTCGTAGTATCTCATATGATGCCTACGGGGGTGAAACCACCCCAATGAGGTGCCTAAACTTTGAATCTGGTTTATGTTTATACCAGTGTGCAAGCTCACTGAAAACAGGAAATTTTAATTGGCAGACTTTAACCAATAGATTAGGAGTGTTGTGTAGCCTGTGCAACCCACAGAAAAGTGAATGACTCTTATTCGATCTCTATCTGTTTAGAATTCTGAGAACGTGTATAAAGTTTTGTGCATGAGCTTTTATTTTTGGCTCATATTTGCCATGCACTTCTGTGGGCACAAACACATGTGTCTGTTATATGGCATATTTTCATTTCAGCATCTAATACATCTGTGTTTTACCTGCTCTATTAATTTTTAAGTCTGATCATCTAATTATTGAACTGTGAAATTCCAACAAGACAACAACATAATTTTCTGAGGAATGAAGTAGTGAATATTCACAATATAAATGTGCCAATGAAAGTGGCTTCATGAATAGAATTTTTGCTACTTTTCTTTCTCTTTAATGTCCTTAATTCCCTTGATGCTTTTAAAAGGAACTCTATGCTTAGGTTGTGCATTTGTCTCTTGTTTTTTGAGGGAATAAGTTTTGTGGGAAATATAACTGCACATATGTGGACCTGAGGGGAAACAAGAATAGGCTACATAGCTGGGCTTTATTGATGTATCCTTTTGATTCTTTTTTGCTGTTGTCTGGAGCTTCTTGAGATATCTGCTTACAGGATGGGACAAGTCCAATGAAATCTGTGACAAATTAACTGGAAAGCACTTCTTGGGTCATTGTGAGACTCTGCTATTTCAGGAATTGTGTGCCGTTTCATCTTTTACGGTCTTGCATTCCTTCTCTGAGACTTCTAAAAAAGTATTTGCCAAAACCTGATGGGAACCAAAGTTGTCAGTTCACAGAGCATACAACAGCCTACTATTTATTAGCAGTTGAGAAGAATGTACAGCCAGACATTTCTTCCATTGAAGAAAGATGGGGACTGTGCTTAGGGACCTTTTATATGTGAAGGAGTCTCTTTGAGAATCTTTAAAAATCCTAGAATAGGAACCAATAACATAGACACAGTAACTTCTGTCAATCTGGTTCTCTTGGACATGTAAAGGCCTGCTAATCAACTTCTCCTGTTCTGCTTCTTCCTGTTTCTCTCCCTGAACAAGTGTCCATTTTCATATCTCCTAGAGGCAGTTCTAGCAGTCATGTGTCTCTTTAGTAGAAAGGAAACGTGGAATGTTGCACTTCCAAATAATCCTATACCAATGTGTAATCTTCCAGCCAAAGCTGTGATCTAATCAATTTTTGTTTGGCTTGACAGCTAGAACATCAGTTGGAATTTTCCTCACTGTTCTTTTTATGAACATGTCCCATTCTTCCTGTCTTAAAGAAGCTGACATACTTCATTATCCTTACTTCTGTTTTTATTCTATTAATAATTTTTCAATGATTTTTGAATTCCTAATGACATTACAGGTGATTCAGTTGTCTTGATTGAGGTTTGACCTTGTATTTGCCTTCTGAGGGAATGTGTTTGGTGAAATTTTATCCCTGTTTTTTTATTTCTCTGTATTAGTTGTTGTTGGACTTCAGAGCAGTTCCAGGATATTTGTGTGAGAGAACACTGTGAAATAAAGATTTCTGTCAGTCAGCTATCATTATTCATGTGGGGGTGGTTAATCTGCAGTCCATTTTATGTGGACACACTTTTAGTAAAGAGTGGATTTACAGATTGTAGAGTTTGTCTCCTGACAAAATGTAGAAGAATTATGTATGTATAATAATGTAACTGTAAGGTGAAGAGACATAGTCTCTCAAAGTGTAATAACATGCCTCTGAAGATAAAAGTTTGATTTTATTTTGGCCTCCCCTTCCCCAGTTTGGTTTCCAGATTTTTCCTACCTATATAACCTTTCCCTCCGGGTGAACAGGGATGGAAAATTAAAATACTGAATAGTTAGTATTTTTCAACAGAGACACATGATTTATCTTGAGCAATTAATGTATGCTAAAGAGTTAGTTGTAATTTAATTGGAAAGTTCAAAGATGGATTAATGGATTTGTGTTTGGCTTTTCACAGGGACAAGAAAAGAGACAAAGAAAAGGTCAAGGAAAAAGAAAAGGCCAAAGAAAAGGAGAGAGACCGAGACAAGGAGAAGGAGAGAGACCGAGACAAAGACAGGGAAAGAGAGCGAGATAAAGATAGAAACAGGGAAAAGGACAGAGAGAGAGATAAAGAGCGTAACAAGGATCGAGAGAGAGTCAGAGACAAAGACAGAGATAGGGACAGGGACAAAGATAAGGATAAAGATAGGGACAGGGAAAAGGAGAAGGATAAGGAGAAGGAAAGAGACAGGGAAGAGGTAGACCAGAACAAGGAAAAAGAAGATACTGAGAAAGAAGGAGAGAAAGACAGAGAAAAGATTAAGGACAAAGAGGGAGATAAGGACAAAGGAGGGGACAAAGAGAAGGACAGAGACAAAGAAAAGGAAAAAGATGGGGATAAGGAGCGAGAAAGAGAAAAAGAAAGAGATGACAAAAAGAAGAAAGAGAAGAGATCCAGAACACCCCCAAGAAGCTATAGCTCCTCAAGAAGATCTCGTAGCTCCAGCAGGTTTGTTTGGATTTTTTTCATGTTTTTTTTGACTTGTCAGTTCCGTGAGGCACCATCCTAATTTTTATGTATCAATATACATACATGCCTCTTACTAATTAAATTTGTATTATTTCTGTTTTGTTGATTTTCCTGTAAAGTAAAATATATTACAAAGAGCTCTGTATGATGCCTGATAGAACATAGTTTCTTGCTGGGCTGCTGGTGCTTGCCTTTCACATAACCATATAATATAGTCATTTAGGACAGTAAGGAGATGATTCTTCTGAGATTTCTCTGTGCTGGAGCTATCCAAAAGTTCTGATAAAGCAACATCACACATCATCTTTGTCCTGATGAAAGTCTGAGTCATTGACTTATTTGAATGCTTATATACTGTATGGTCTGTAGATCTTATGAACAGTTGTGTGATAGTACTTGTCACTCGTCATGGCTCAACAGCAGGAAGCAAGTATGTCACTTGGCTAGCTATCCATTCAGAAAGTGAGTGTATCTCAGTTGGAAATAAGGATACTTTGTTTAGCTGTTCAGAGTAAGGTACAAGTTAAAAGTAAGTTCCTTAACAGTGCTTATATTAAACAGGGAGACATTCAAGTTAATGAAGCTGTTGTTCTTGCCTCTGAGGGAGGCTGAACTGGATGGAAGCCTGGATAAATTCAGTACAGCAAAAGGAGGCTGTGAGATTGATTATAAGCTCTGTAAGTGCACTAACTCAGGTATATTCTAAAAACATTGTGGCTAACTTAAATTCAGAAGCTCTGGTGGAAAAAGTCCTTTCTGAATACCTTAGGAATTAGGGCCTTCAGTAATATCACTTGTCAAATTTAGATACCAGATTTTTTCTGCTACCTTGAGAGAGTGAAATGCTGGATGAATTGGGAGAAGTTCTATATATTACAATAATTTCACTGGACAAAAGCAAAATTCCCACAGTCCTCAGAATTCAGAATTTCATGATTCATACAAGGTGGAAAGGGCTGTAATGTTTTCTAAACATTCTGTTTGGATTACATGAAATGTCCATATTGTTTTGGAAGTTTACAAGCAAAATACTGTGTCTTTTTTGGGCATATGCAGCTTCCTATCTTAATGCATTTTTAACATTATTTCATGGCTTGAAGACCTACACAGAGTAGAGTTGGTTCTGCCACATTTTCTGTCTGTAGGCCTCAGGGGTGTTGAATTAGGTAAGTGTAGAAAAAAGATTTAATGTTTTGACAATGTGTAGCTTATATAAGAACCTTGGTGGAAGACCCAGTCCTAATGTCAAGTAACAAGTGTAGTAGTTAGCTGGATGTTACCAAAAACTCATACTCTAATTTGCAACAATTATGCATCCCTTTAAGAATCTTGCTATTTAAGAAAACACCATGGAAGACTCAGATGCTATGTACTGAGAGAGTTGGGGTCCTTTAGCCTGGAGAAGAGAAGGCTCTGGAGAAACCTTATAGCAGTCTTCCAGTATTGAAAGGGGCCTACAAGAAAGCTGGAGAGGAACTTGTTACAAAGGCATGTAGTGATAGGATGAGGGGTAATGGCTTTAAACTGAAAGGGTTGATTTAGATTATATCTAAGGAAGAAATTCTTCCCTGTGAGGATGGTGAGATACTGGAACAGGTTGTCCAGAGAAGTTGTGGATACCCCCTCCCTGGCAGTATTCTAGTTCAGGCTGGATGGGGCTTTGAGAAACCTGATGTAGTGGAAGGTGTCCCTGCCCATGGCAGGGGGTTGGAACTAGATGATCTTTAAGGTCACTTCCAACCCAAATTGTTCTGTGATTCTATTTAGGCAAAGAATTCTAGGAAAAAATCAGTGCATCTCTTCTAATGGACTCACAGTACAAAACCCTACTTTGATAGGGAGTTAATTTTTTTTTTATATGGATGTTACTAAACAAAGACAATGTTCTTTTGAAGATGGAGGATGAGAGAAATACACCTTTTTACATGGATTTACAATTCTTTCTTCAGATACAGCATTATCCTTAGACTATCAATATTGGGGCCAATACAGATGAACATATTCATCAGTGGCCTAGACAGTAGGACAGAGTGCACCCTCAGCAAGTTTGCAGACAAAACAGAACTGGAGTGAGAGGCTGGTACGTCAGAGGAGTATGCTGCCATTCAAAAAAGCCTTGGCAGAGAGGAAAAACAGCCTGACAGGCTTCTCATGGAGTTGAACAAAGAGAAAGGCCAAGTCCTGCACCTGGGCAGGAATAACCCAATTGCATCAGTACAGCATGGGGACTAACTAGCTGGAAGGCTTGCTGGCTGGCAGAAGACCAGAGGGTCCTTGCAGCCAAGAAGGTCAGTAGTATCCTGAGCTGCATTAGGCAGTTTTGTGAGCAGGTCAAGAAAGGCGATTATTTCCCTCTCGTCAGCACTGCTGAGGCCACATCTGGAATGCTGTGTGCAGTTTTGGGCACCCCATTGCAAGAGACACACAGACATACTGGAGAAGATCCGGTGAAGGACCATGAAACTGATTAAGAGCTTGGAGCATCTCTCATACAAGGAGAGACTGAGGGATCTGGGATTGTTTAGCTTGGAGAAGGCTTAGGGGGCATCTTATCATTACATATGAATACCTGATGGGAGAGTGTGAAGAAGACACAGGCAGACTTCTCAGTGAGGGCCAGTGACAGACTGAAAGGTAGTAGGCACATATTGACATGTGGGAAACAAAGACTTTTTCCTAATGTTTAAATGACTCCTTTTTTTTTTTTTTCCTGGGCAAACTCTAACCGATTATCTTGAGAGATTGTGGAGTCTTCATCTGTGGAGATATTAGAAATCTTGACTGGAGGTAGCCCTAGGTAACCTGGTGTAGTTAATTGTTTTTTAAGGTGGGGGAGAGAGAGGTTGGATTAGGTGTTTTCCAGAGGGCTCTTTCAACCTCAGTAATTCTGTTATTCTGAAAAGTAATTGTGAATAGGTTGGGTTACAGAGTCAGTTAACAAATGCAGTTAACTTGCATTTAGGGACAGCTCTTTACTTTGGTCATTGAAATGAGCTAGTTGAAATAGTTACAAATCTTTCTGGAGAAGATTATCCAACAAACTGGCATTTCAGCTGCCTGGATTTACAGTGTAGCACTGAGTTGGGACTGCTGATGGGTGTAAAATGTTGGACAAATAGTCACCTTTTTGGAGACGTGAAGGTGGAGTAGGACATACAGGACCCTCTAAGAACTAGGTGGCAACTGACCTTGCTTTACTGACAGACAGCATGCAAATACTAGAGATCAGAGAGCTATTTGTGATTCCTAGCTGAAGGAAGAGATACAGACCAGAGGAAGAGGAGGATCTGTCTCTTTTTCCAACAGACACCTACAGGCTATCAGAGGAGATGGGTATGAGATGTTAGTTCTGTGTATGATTAAGAGACATATGATCACTATCAAAGTATTCATACTTGTATTTTCTTAATTTTTGCTGTATTAATATTGCTTAAGATAGTTAAACAGGTGCACAAAAATCTTTGTATAGACAAATGTAATAGAGATAGGAACAAATACTGTGAGACAGTTGTAGTTCTTCAACTTGAAATATGAAAAGCAGAAACTGAAAATTAGATTTAATGAATAAACAGTTTCTGGTTTAAATACAGTCAGTAAAGCACTTGGTTACTCACAGCTGTGGTATGCTGGAAAGTAAAATACAGTGAGTATGTACTCAGTGTAGCTCAGGTGGGAGCACTGTCAAAATAATGTCAGTTTGCAGTATCCTCATTTGGAAAAAGGTGATAATAAATGTGAAAATGTTCAGAATGAGATGCATGTTAACTAGTGAACAGCTGTTCAGTGATGGTGAAAATTTCTCCGTGATTTTGGGGCCACTTTATATTTTTGTTTGCCAAAGATCAATTCAAACTTAAGAGCTTTCTTGAATAAAATAGTTACGTAATTTTGTCCTATGCAGCTACAGAAAGTCTCAGTAGATGATATTCTCAGAGTATCAATACAGATAGTGATACTAGATACATCTTAATATACCCTTTTGTAATGAACTGAAATTATAGTGAACTTCAGGTTCTAGTGTTATGTTTTGAAGTTCAGGTCATGATTTTTGTCTTAATATGGCTCTTCATTCAATTGGAATCTTTTACTGACTGAAGAGACTCTTCCTTAATACAGGATTAGTGAATTCTGTGTTTTTCCATTGTTATCAGATGTAAGTACAAGTACATGAGGATAAACAAAAAACTAAAGTCTGAAAGGGCACAACCTTTTTTTTTCCCTACTTCCAGCCTCACTTTTTCAACAGAATTGAAACATGCAAAATTTCTTTTTGATTTGTACAGTTTATGTATTGGTGCTGATATGTAATGTTAAATTCAGGTGTATGTACTTAGTAGATGTGTTAGATGATTTTAAAAGCTTTCTGTTTTTATCTGGTTCCTGAGTTTATTATTTCTATTATTTAATGATCTTGAATTTCTTGGTCCTGTAGAGAGAGGCGTAAAAGGAAGAGTAGAAGTCCCTCCAAGTCTCCTAAAACATCCAAAACAACAAAAAGAAAGTCTTCACGAACTCCTTCTCCAAGAAGGTCAGTTTGATGTAAACATAAAAGTAAATGAAGAAGAATTTATAGTATTTTTGTTGTTTTATCACCTTTGTACTAATTATTTCATACGATTTCAGTTGCTCAGCATGATTCCATTTTAATGTAAACTAAAACCAACCAAAAAACCTGCATGGATTTGTGTGTTGGTATGCTTTCAACTAGAGAGTTTCAAATCTGTCAGCAATGCAGATTTGCTTCAAATCAATAAAAGCCCTTCATCAGATACATCTTAATTTGGTTTTCTCTTTACAAATACCATTTGCACTGAACATGTGCATTCTTTAGCTCTCTTCAGTCAAAAAATCCCCTTGTCTTTAAAAAGGGTATTTTGTTGCATTTTGATTCTTTTATGGGAAACCCACACATGAGAGTTCAGTTTGCAATTAAATACTTTGAAGGTTGTTGCTGTTGGATTAAATTCCAATTTGACTAAAAATTGTCTTAAACAGAAACAAGAAAGAAAAAAAGAGAGAAAGAGATACAAATAATGAAAGAAGAGAAAGAGAACGCTCCACCTCCAAGAAAAAAAGTAGTAAAGAAAAAGAAGGAAAGGAGAAATCTGACAAAAGCACTGCTGCTTTGAAGGTAAGCTGTGACCCAGTGATAATCAGAGTTAAGTGGTGCTAGTCGAGCCATTATTGAAATTCCCTCCTTTTTCTTTCATTTTCTCCTCTCTTCTTTTTCTTCTGTTTTTCTTACCAAATTACTACCATTTGGGTTTAGCTTTTGCGAAGTGAAGACCTACAGTTGGTGTTAGTGGACCAGTTTGATAAGTCTAAGTGTTTGAACTTTACAGGAGCTTGTGTGAACAGGTTATGGAAGCACTTCATTTTGGTTTCTCTTTGTGCCATATGTTAGGACTGGTCTGGCTGCCTATCTGTATGAGCAGGCAGGAAGCAGACTGTGTAACTAAGGAGCAGTGTTCAGGGACAACTGTCAGGCTGAAAAGATGACTTACTCTAATAAAGTTCATCTGCAGTTCAGCCTCTCCCTGGTTGCTTTGGTTCTGGTCTGCATATTGGGACTCTGCAGGAGTGAAGTTGAAGAGTTGGGGAGGAGTGGTGTGGGATTTTTCCCTGCTAAATAGAAGATGGTGTGATTAAGAAGAGAAAGATATTCAAATTGTTCAATCTTGGAATTCAAAAAGTGGCATGCCTTTAAAGAGTAGCTTGTTATACCCAGAATTAGTAAACTGTTATAAAACAGCTGGTTAGGTGACTCTCCACATGCTTAGATAATTACCTTACCCAAGAACTCTCTTAAACTGCATCCCATACCTGACAAAAATATGAAAGAAAGGAATTAATTGTATTTAGAAAATAGGATGAAACCTTAATTTATGGGGCTGTTTCTCATTGATTCCATGATGCTGCTTGTTCCCTTTTTACTGTGTATTGATGATAAAGACAGATCACTTTATGACAATGATTTCTTGGATGACAGGTTGTTATGAGTGTCTAGCTTTGGCCAATTAAAAAAAAAAAAAAGGAAAAGAAGCTGATGCCTCTGTTCTGAAAAATGCTGAGACAGGATAGGATAGGCATGTAAAAATGGAGACAATATAAATACCAAGAGTTGTTTGAAAGTCATATCCTATAATGCTAAGAATACTATTTTTTTGTAAAATAATTTTATCTTTCATAGGACAAAGATCACACTAAAGAGGATCAGAATTTAGAAACTGACAAGGAAGTAGACAACAGAGATACACAAAGGACAGATGAAGTCAAACTACAACAGAATGGGAACTGTCAACCAAATGAAGAAAACCTGTCAATTAAAATGGAAGAGGATTAAAGCGAAGAATGGACCTCTGATTCAACTAAGGAACAAAATCCAAAGCTTTTTATTTCCTAGACCGAGGAAGAAAATGTCAAAGCAATCAACCCGAACATGTTGATAGTACCAGTAGCTCTTCCAGTTCTTGTGATAGCTTTGTCTTCTTGCTGTAATGCAAGAGAGCACGGACTAGTTAGTTATACCATGAAAAGGCAGATGCCATCAGAACTATTCATCTCTGAAAATTCATGCATTTCCATGATGGCTGTACTTATTTGTAAAATGATTTATGTTAAGTTTTGCCATAAGCTGTTACAAATAAGTAGAAACTGAAAGATGTAAACCTGTACTACCCAAAAAAAGCTGAAGATATGCATTGAAGGTTGTTTAAAATACTGCTTATTGATTAATTTTGTATTGTTTTACCTTGTGAGTTAAAAAATCCACAAAAACTTCAATGTGTACTGTTTGATGTGCTTGGAAATGGTGCATAGACACTCTTTTTTTGTAAATGACAACTGTAGGGTAAGAGTTTTGAACATAAACAGAGTTTTATGTTTCTTTCATTAAATCCCCAATGACTAGTATGTTTTTGATTTGCTCAAGGCTTGAGATTCTTGGGGTTTATTATTTAAAATAATTTCTTACTAATACCCTAAAATTAATATTTCTTTAAAGTATTTGAACAATGCATGCTACTTTTCCTAAAAGGAACATTGCCATGTTATAGATAATAGATTAACTTCCTGAGTTATTTTGGGGTTGTTTTGGTTTGTTTTCTTTTGTCCTTCCAGAAGTGTGCACATCTGTATGATATTATCAGAATTTTCAGCTTTGTTTTGAGCTGTACTGCAGTGTGTCTGTTCAGCTGCAAACAGTACAGGTGCCATTATGAAAATAAATTTTTCTTTTTTGTTTAAAAAAACACGGGAGCACAAGCAGAAAGCTTTAGTGCCTTCTTAAAATGTGGTATTTTCTAGAAATATACATGTGTTATTGCTCATTTTCAGCTAAATTTTACATGATCTCTATTGCTATTTTGCCACCACCATACTATAGACAAGAATGGAAGTGATTTGTCAGAACGGTTGATTCACTTGTTAAAATACTAAAGCTCCATTTTTGCTTTTCTTATTTTTAGAAAATATTTTATAGATCAAAGATGCAATTTGGGGACCACCACTGTACAAAAGTAGCTAAATACAAAGCATTTTCTGATCACCTGCATCAAAGGTAGCCCTTTAGACATTTAATCTATATTTGGATGGCCTTAATTGTTACCTCTCCATCATCTGTGATACCTGTTGGGTGATATAAAAGGAATTGTATGCAAAAAATGGGGGATAAATAATTTGTGGAAAAATATTTTAGTTTACACAGGTGTTATATGGTAGAGATTCTTTTTTCATTCTTTGAGGAGAAAGCATGTAAGACGAGAATGACAAAGCAAGTATTTTTGTCAAGGTAAAACATGGCTTGTGTTCTCTGAACTAATGTAATTAGTTACATGAGATTTCTTGAGTCATACCTTTAAAACTGACTTATACCTAAAATCAAGTAGATTATTTTTAATACAGTTTATTACAATCGAATTACTTAATTGCCTTACCTCATAGGAAGAGTTATTTCAGTTAAGCAAACTTAATAGCATATTAGCTATTTGTTTTTCTTTTCCTTTGCATAGTTAATTCGGGGTGGGCTGGGGAGCAAGCATATTACAGGGAATGAAAAATTTGCCCAATTCCTAAGGTAATGAAACCCAGTTTGATTGTGAAGCTGCTTAATCTCTCTTCATTTTATTAGGATTCAATGTTCTTGCCACTGTGTAGATTTAAGACATAAGAAATGCTTTACCATGTAAAGTATAGACAGTCATTTTTGTGATGTTTAAGCCACATGCTGTTGGCTGGCAAACAGCTTATTCTGATAAAAGAATGACAAATCTGTATGCTTACAGGAAGACTGTGAAGTATAGTGTCTTGCAACAACAGCTGTCTTATTTATCATATGTAAGTAGCATAGAGCCGAAGAGATTGTTTGTATACTTGTTATCTTTGGTACCATTTCACTAATAAAATTAAGTATTTTAGAGGGAAGTTTCTGCTGGTACATACTTATTAAAGGAATATTTTTAGTTGATCTGGTCTTACTCACGTAGCTTCTTTGATTTGAAATGTGGATACCAGTGAAAATATATATGTATTATTTATAATATCTTTGAAAAGCTGTTTCTCCTTTGGGAGGGATTAGAATTCTTACAGTGTTAACATGTTTCAGCTGATATTAGTTTGATTTCTTGAGTTCTGTTATCCTGAAATTGCATAGCTCTTCTGTATCAGTTACAGAATATGTAAAGTATTGTGTACAGTTAGCTAAGAAACATGCCTTTGGAAATTAATAGTTAAGGATGGCAGCCTTACTAGCTGACTTACCACATGTTAAAGTCCATATGAAGCACATTGTTATATTGTATGTGAATTAATGGTTCCCTTTCAAAAAGGTGGGTTTTTTTTAAGGAAAAAAAAAAAAAAGCAAACCAAAACAACCAACCACCAGACATAGATTTCCTCCCCACCTCAAGTCATATTTTCTTACAAATGCTGTATTTTCTGGTTTTGCTTTGTAAATACTATGCAGATCTGTGGGGTAGTTAAGTACCATCTGTTCATATTGAGTGTTTCACAGTTCCCCTCTTCCTAAAAAGCCACCACTGGAGAACTAATCTGTAAGATGTCTGCCTCTGCAGAAGGTAGCTCATTTTTAAACTGGTAGTGTAGCACAGTAGTGAAGTTCCTGCTTGCTCCAACAGGATTGTGTGCATCATCCTTTAAATGTGCCCACCTCCCACTGGAAGTCCATTGCCTTCGTTGTTAATAAGTTTGCATGCTGGGCTGCCATGTCAGATTGTTTGGTTTTGCACTTTATAAATGAGATTAAATTGAATGGAGGTTTTGAGAACAGTGTAGTTCATGATAGTTGTATTGTTCTAAATGTAATTTCGTTTGAGTCAGCCTTTATTTGAAAATGCTATGACTTGTAATTGCTCAGAAAAGTGACGATACGGTGCTAAGACTATGTAAAGCATATGTACTTAAGCTTCCATTCGTGACCACAGTTATTTCACAACAGTGTTTGTGGGGTAAGATAGGAATTTTCATTGGATTTTGAAGGAAGAAGGTAGCAGAAAACAACTGCTGGTGGATGAAACAGCATTCAAAGTTCAAAATAGCTGTGACTTGGATAAATCCGCTAAAGTCAATAGGTTTATACAGGTGTGAGGGATGAAATTTTGTTTGCAAACACTGACAGCAGTAATGAATACTGTTTTTCATATTTCAGATTTAGAATTAAGAGAGGAAAAAAGCCCTTCAGTTGGAAACTAGAGAAACATTGGAAGAATGCCTGAGAGATCAGTGAGTTGTAGGTTGTGCCTACTCATTGGTTAACTGATAGGGGGTTTTTTTTAATGGCATTTTCATGTAATTACATCTGTACTAACTTTACATTAGCTGGCTAACAGCAGCCCTATGCACTGCTTGGATTCTGTAATGAGCTGTGACCACCTGAGTGTGTAGTCTTTAGCAAGCTTGCAAAGTGTTCTCTGGCCTAGTTACATCTAAGTCAATACCCGAAATTACTTTGAATCTCTGCCAATCTGCTTGTTACATGGTAGCTTCTCTGTGTTGCCCTTAGATTGTACTGGTATTTTCTAATAGTAGATTAGGGATTTCTGTGATTTTCTTTTGGTCTAAGACAGAGAGTAAGTAAAGGCTGCTTTGTATAATAGAAAGTATTGTATACTTCATACCTGTCTGTATTACTGTGTTATTTTTTTCGTTCACGTGTATGACCGTTGCAAGCAGTAATGCCATAGTGATGTATCTTCTACTTTTAGGTCTGAAGCATTTCTGCATCCCTGTCTTTTTGTTAGTTTGTAATGAAACAGGTTAGAGTTCAGCTGTTTTCATTTTGCTAACCACTCACTTAGAGGACAAAAAACCCCAGACAAAAATAATCTTGAATTTTGTAAATGTTAGTGTGAAATCGGTGTTACAGTGGTAAAACAAATAATCTTAAAGATGTGAATTCTGAACAATGACTTACAAACTGGGCCATATTATGGGTCCTGCCTGCCACTTTGTGGTACTTTCAGTTTTACAGCAATCAATTATTGCCTTTGGTGTTACCATAATTTTAAAAGTAAGAAAATTTGTGACACAAATGCTGAGATCTGTAAGTGGCTAAAATAATGTAAATCAGTAGGTGCTTAGTTCAGAGAGATGTAGTTTTATCACAAGATTGGGTTATGGACAGCTGAAATTTGTAGATATCGTTATTACCTAACGAGAATCTAAAACAATTTTGTTTGCTAATATGTAAACAGAAAAAAAGTTTTCAGCCTGTACCTTAGGTTTATTTTTATATGTTGAAAAGTGTAATTAAAATAATATTGCAAACTAAAAGCACTGTATAAAAGGGATTTTTTTTTTTTTTTAATATGTAAGAGAAATGTACTTTCAATTGTGTTTTATTTTAAACTTTTAAAAAATGTCTTTGCAGGTAGTGTTTATTTTTATTTCAAATTCAAGAATGCTTCATTTGTTGGTAAATCCTATTGCAGGATCTGAGCATGTTAGTATGGGGGTTTCTTCTGTATTCTCTTCAATAAAAAACATCTTAATAAACTTGTCTGACAATAGGTAGGGACAACTATCCCATTAGTTTGAGGAGACACATCTCTATGTTTTGCTGATTAGGGATACCAATTAAACTCAGACACCAGAGTGAAAAGAGCAGGTGTATTTAAAATAACTAAATAATGTAACAGAATAATACAGAAAACATACAGTAAGAAAAGACAGAACAGCACGCTTAACAAATAGGAAAATACAGAGTAATGCATCAAATCATTACTACCTGAGAGAGAGAATAGTGATTAAGAAAGATACATCACTTTTCTTGACAGGCCACACTGGATTGCCACCTCAGAACTTGTACATCTAAAAAATCTTTAATTGTCTGTGTTATCTTCATGTCCTCCTGGAATTCTCTGTTGCTTCATTTGTAACCAACTTAGTTGCAGCTGGGATCTGCACAGGAGGCATTTTTACTTTACCAACCATAACAGGTCTGGCACTAATGTGGGATCTGACTCCAAACTGATACTGGCCATCAGAGAGATTTAAAGTCAGTCCTTTCAAGATGTTTGTACCGATTATATATTCAGGAATAGGAACAATCATTACCAGGTACAGGTGCTTTGGGAGGTTTCCTATTTTCATTTCTATTTGTGCACTGCCTCAATTTGTTTTCCTCCTAACCCAGTAATAACTACAGGTTGTCCTTTATAGCTTTTTGGGTTTCCAAATATTAAAGAGACCTCCGCTCCAGTATCAATTAAGGCATTTACAGTTTGTGGGGATTGGTTGTTCCAAAAAATGTTAAGCTCCACATGGGGCCATCGGTCCTTCCGTACCCACTGCACTGGAGCTTGGCCATTAATTCATTTATGTTGATCATAATGTTGACTCACCTCTCTTGCCTTCTGCAAAGGGTACAAGTCAGAGAACGGTGCCCAATCCTCTTTCACCCCTGGAACCTGTAATCCACTCACGGGCGGACCCTCCATGAGCAGATGGAAGGTCCCGTTGAGGGTCGAGAGGTGGCGCCGTAGGCTGAGTTGTCCTTGCCTTCTTGGCCTGGGATTTTTGTACCTTTTTGCTGGGTTTATTCAGCCCTCTCTGTTTATACATTCTCCACAATTCTGGGGTCGAAATTCCATCAGTTTTATCGCAGGGCATACCATCCCTTAGTAAGGTAGTAAACATTTCCTTACGAGAAATCCCGTTTTCCCTGCCCTTGGAGCTGTCTCAAATATCTCGATTCCCTGCGCTCCCTCAGGGGCCTCATTCTCCAAGGTCACGCAATTGTTGCACTTTTTCAATTACTTCATTGAGGGGACTCCCCGTTTCATTAATGAGGAGGGTCATAATTACATTTTTATATGCTGGTGGAGCAGTTTTAATCACTCTGTTTCTCATAGTGACTGATAACAGATACTGCATCAAAAGATCAACATTTCCTAAGAAAATAGCTGCTTTCATCCCTCCTCTTTCATTTGCTGTATACCGTCTCACAAAGTATAACACTGACGGTCAGATGCCGGCCAATCATTTTCTGTAGGATATTTGGTATTACATCCCAAAGCAGCCAATGCTCACAAATTAATATCCTGATTATCGTTTCAAAATTTATCTTGTACAAACAAATCTGAACTTAGAATCTAAAATTTTTTCGGATCTCTTTCATTTAGGATTATCCTTGCAGCTCCCTGATCATGCAAACGCACCATCCAAGAGACTATGGGTTCCCCTGGTTTCTGCTTAAATCAGTTATATTGTTTACTTCATGCTGTGTATAATCCTCTATGGCATCCCTCCTCACAGGTTGCATATTATTAGGATCTTCTACCTTTCGCCTCCACACAGGTTTTGCATCTGTGAATTCATCGGTGGAACCAGCCTCATCAGAATCTGTAGAATCCCAAATATCACCATCCCATTTCTCTGGGTCCCGTTGCACACCTGCATCTGCAATCACTGCATGTACTTTCTTACGATTCACCCACCCTCTCCTTTTCTTATGCTTCTATTGTGCTACTCACACTGCACCTTTCTCTGCCACTGTCTGATAAGTATCCAGCTTATCAGCAAGCAACTTATTCTGGCATTACAGCATCACTATTTGACTCTACAAATCACACATCTGTTGCTCCATCTGTGAGCGCTCTAACAACAGCCTCTCTTTACTCTGGTGTTGTTTTCTATATGCAGTTAACAAAACCCATCACCGTTTATTTGAATTTGTAGTTTCTTTTCCTTTTTCAATAGGTATCTTTTGCATACAATTTAAAACATCTAATGGTTCGGCTTCTTTCAGCCAGCTCTCCCATTGTTTGCATAGTCCTGTGACCTGAGCCCACTCCTGGGCCAGCAAACTATAGGGAGAATTTTCCCAGCCAGGAATTTTTGGTGGACTTGACAGATTACCTTTGAATTTAAATAGTGGCATTTTTATCATATTCCCCTTCTGACACCAATTTATGTTTTGCTGATTATAGAGATGCCAATTAAATTCAGACACCAGAGTGAAAAGAGCAGGCATATTTTACTTAAAATAACTAAATAATGTAACAGAATAATACAGAAAACATACAGTAAGAAAAGACAGAACAATGCGTTTAAGCAAATGGGAAAATACAGGGTAATGCATCAAATCATTACTACCTGAGAGAGAGAATAGCGATTAAGAAAGACACATCACCACTTGCATCCTTTACCATCATGCAGACCTGGCTGCAGGGAGGGTTTGCAGAGCCTGTCCCGGCCAGTGGGAAATCCTACGCGGTGCGTCCATCCGTAGGTGAGGCTGCCAAAGTCCCTGTGAGCGAGTCCAGCCTTATAAACCAGAGATTGACAAGCCAGAAGAGCTGGCACCTTTGTTTTTGAGTGGAACATCTGGTTTCACTCTCTCATTAGATTCCCCCAGAGCCTGGCCAGGGCTCAAGGGAGAAGCTAAGGGAGTTTACCTCCTTAACTCATTTATTTATGTTCTTTTTAAAACAAGGCCATACGTCTGTCCCAAGGCCCGACAGCTAGCTTCATGGCTTTGTTAACTTACCCCTACACAGAGAAGAAGAAAGATACATTCAGAATAGACATGTTTTCATTACATCCATCACCAGTAATAAGTATATCATATCTAAGCTACATCTTTCATAAATGAGCATACATATTTTGTCAGTGACTACATACTGTTAGCAGCTTTGGCTCGGGGCCTGTTGTTCCGGCTTCAGTATTTCAATGCTTTAGCACTTTTTACATCAGCACGAGTGTGTTGTTATAACTTAGTACAATACCTGCTGGCACAGTGGGTTTCAGTTATAAAATATACAGGCTTCATCTATAGGTCAACTCTGGCTTGGGCCTGTTGGCCAAGCCTTGGCATTTCACTCTAACACTTCAATTCTGAATTAAGTAAATGCTACATTTGAGAAGCTATCTACAAACTTCAGTTCTCACAACGTTTCCTGAATCCACGAACTCTTAATATCCAAGTGGGCAAAAAATTTTTTTAAAAAAATTGTCATGACAGTTTTATGAGTTTTGGGCTTGATACAGGAGAACATGGAAAACAAAAGAGAGGTTTTAGCAGTTTATATGTTTTTTTTTTTTTTTTTTTTTTTTTTTCCCTTAGGGTAATCTCTTGCCAAATTTGACACAGACTAGAGATTTTCAGTGTACAAAGTATGTTCCCTACTCATCTTGTTAATTAAATTACTCCCCCATAAAAGGCTACATGTGTCTTTTTTGAACTGAAAGACCTATCAGCAATGGTAAAAGAGTAATTTCATTTTCCTTTCACTCAGTCCTTGGTGTCTTTAATGAGGCTGCCAGTTAAGTAGCTTTCTTAGAAGCAGCAATTTGTTGGTCTACTCAATAAAACCTTCCATAGTGTAAAGATTTTAAAACTACTGCTATACTGATGAGTAAATCATGGGCCACTTTGAAATTGCTACTTCGTAAACACATAATTTTCATAATAAAGGAATGTGTGATCTGCTCTGGAAACAGCAAGAAAGTAATTTGACATGTACAGTTCATGTCATTTATCAGGAGATCCTTTCTGCTATTTTTCCCACTGAAACAGGAGCCGTGAGACTAATTTGTTATACGCAGCGCCTATCACAGTCTGGGTTCAGTTAGACCTGAGGAACCTAAGCACTACAGCAGCAAAAATATTATTTCCCTTCTCTGAGTTTGATATTTCTGGTAATAAAGTAGGTCTTCTAAGTTTAATAAACATATAACCTGTTCCATGTTGGTAGAGTATATTTTTGCATTAATGAAGCAACTATAAAATGATACAAATAAACAAATGTCAAATTCTATTGTTGATGTTGTTTTTATAAATAGTGTCCCAAAGATTTTAATGGTGTC